TTTTTTAAGACAGGATTTCACCATGTTGGTCAGGCTGGTCTTGAATTCCCGACCTCAGGTGATCTGCCCGCCTTGGCCTCCAAAGTGCTTGGATTGCAGGCGTGAGCCACCACACCTGGCCGGGGTTTTTTTTTTAACATTTACTTTGGGATGATGAATGATGAAACTTTTGAAAGATTGTAAACTCAGTAATCTCATAACATCCTAAATCAGTGCTTAAAAATGGCATCCCAGGGCCAGGCAGGGTGGCTGCTATCTGTAATCTCAGCATTCAGGAAGTCCAAGGAGGATCGCTTGAGGCTAGGAGTTCAGGACCAGCCTGGGAAACATAGCAAGACCCCATCAGTACAAGAAATTTTTAAAATTAACCTGGCATGGTGGTGTGCACCTATAGTCCTAGCTACTCAGGAGGCTGAGGCAGGAGGATCACTTGAGCCCAGGAGTTTGAGGTTACAGTGAGCTATGATTGTGCTACTATACTCCAGCCTAGGCAACAGAGGGAGACCCTGTCTCAAACAAACAAAATAGCATCCTATTGGAATGGGGAGTTTATTGCCCTTTATTTGGTATAAGTTGCGTCTCTTAGTCTAATAGCTATGACTTATCTTAAAACAGTACAGTTTATTCAAAAAATCTCAGAATCAATTTTGTATTAAGGAATTCCTGGAGTGTAGAATTATGCCATGCCTTCTTTTCTAGGTAGATGTGAAATTGGACCCCAAGGATTTGCGAATAGATACATTTCGAGCCAGAGGAGCAGGAGGGCAACATGTTAATACAACTGATAGTGCCGTCAGACTTGTCCATATCCCCACAGGTGAGCAAGTCCCTTGGCTTTGTACTTTTAACCATTTTTCCCATCTTACTCAGCATTTGGAAGGAAATCGTCCTGTGTAAGTATCTGGTTCCCTGCACAGCTCTTTAAAAATGTCACTGGGGTTGTGGATCAGGATGTCTATTGTGTTTATATTCCCCTTCTGTTTGGAAAGATTTCCTTTCTGAAAAGAGCAGACAGTGAGCAGACCTATTCAGGGAAGCTCCCAGGTATGCTGGACAGGAGTGAGCAACCACAGGTGGCTCTGCCTAAATACAAATGAAACACAGAAGTAGCCTTGGATGGGCTACTGCCGTGGATCTTCTGTCATCTGTAGCTTGATGGCTAACTCCATTAGGCTTTGCTGCACTAATGCTTTTATTTTGAATATTGGTAATTCTGGCATACTCAGGTAGTTTTGTGGTTTGCAATGTGATTTTAAATATACCTACGGTTTTTCACATTAAAAACTTTTTTAACTTCTTAATTTTTCTTTTTAAAATTAATTTTTACACTTGATGTATATTATTTTAAAAGTCTAATGGCAAAATCCAATAACAAAAAAACTAGCAGACCTCTGGACTTGTTCCCATCTTCTTCCTACTTCCTCTACCCTCAATTCCCATTTCCTAGAGATAACCACTTTAAATTCTTATAGCTCATTTCTCTACCTACAAAAAACAAACAAACCTCTTTTAGTTATTTCTTCTGGTAATTACCTCAGTATTTCTAAATAATAGGCAAATAGTGCTCTTCTGACCAACTATAAAGATTACATATTTACGTCTTGATGTGGTAGATGAGAATTTTACCCCTCTTATATCCCTTCCTCTTCCAAATATTTATCTTTTGGCAAAATTAATCTTCACTGTTTTCATATAATGAACAGATAGTGTTTGATGCTAAGCCCATTAGTATACAGTCCTGTGATTTCATTTCCTAGAGTTAATAATTACCTCATTGATTTTCCATTTGCTTACTTTTCTTTGACTCTGAGTCTGCCTACATCTTCCAAAAGCTGTGTAAAATGAAGTCGCTCCAGTGCTTTCTGGAGACTCCCTGACAGAGCACTCTATCATCTTGCTCCAGTGTAGACCAGCTGCTCCCCGGGGCACTGCACAGGGGTTGTCCTGGTCACCAGCAGTTGGGAAGTTCCCTTCATCTCTGTTCTGTGTTGGATCCTCCCATTTCTTGGGTTCCATATCATCTTTTCTCTTTGTTACTCTGTCATTTTAACAAAGCTCATCTTTAAGTGGCTTCCTGAGAAAAGACCTGTGACATGTAAATATTACAAGGCTTTGTAGATCTGAAAATAGCTTTTTCTTCCCCCCCAGCAACTACTTCAAGGAAAAAAAAAGCTCTACTCTAACTTCACACTTCATTGATCCTTTGTTGGAAATCATTTCCCTTTAGAATAGTGAAAATCTTTTTCATTCCTTATATTTGTTGCTTTCAGTTTAGAGACTCATGCCTTTCAGCTCTGAAATACTTTCCTAGTAATTTCTTACATAATATTTTCTTTATTCTTCCTTGGATTTCTATTAGTTAGATGTTAGACCTCTTGAATTTATCATTTTTTTTCATATTGTCTGTCACTTTGTTTTTTAGTTCTTTTTCCTACCCTTTTCCTGATTTTAAAAAAAATTATTTTTTTTAACTTTTGAGTGCTCTTTCTTGTTCTCAAAATTTTTTTCATAGCATTTTTTCTTATTTTTTGATACTGATTTCTCTTTTTTATTGCTCAAGGATATTAATTTTCGTTTCCCTGAAGTGCTTTCTGCAGTGTCTCTGTTTCCTCTGAGTTTATTTTTGTTTCATTCTTTCTTTTCTTTTTTTTTTTGAGACGGAGTTTCACTCATGTTACCTAGGCTGGAGTGCAATGGCGCGATCTCGGCTCACCGCAACCTCCGCCTCCTGGGTTCAGGCAATTCTCC